GCCAGTCGTCAACATCTTCATAAATGTCTCCGTGAAATGAGCGTGGTGTTTGCGGCGCATGAAAAACATGCGGGAGAAAAGAATAGGCGTCGTTGGTTTGACTCGCCTGGTTGTTAGTTGAAGTTGTCATCTCGCCTTGAGAGAGGGGACGGTACTCGGGAGATAGTCCTCGCAGGCGGCGACTGCTTCTTGCCGTGGTAGCTGTAGCTGTCTCCAAGTAGCTCGGTGTGTCGGCTGAAAATCTGCAGCCGAGGCGCATTTACCCAGCACCTCCACCAGTGCCACGAACGTAATTACAGACAGCGACGAAACGACGTCTTGCTTGCCCTCAGACCAGGACGCAAAAGCCCTCTTCTTTCTTCACTTCCCAAGCATTCCACCTACAGTTGATGGCTCATACCCATTACCTGTGACAATATTGACATCGGCGAAGATGCTAATGTACGCTGATGATACAGCCGTTATTGTTACTGCAGACAATATAAGGGATCTCGAGCATAAAAGTAATGCAGAACTAAAAATGTTTGTCAGTGTTTTTAGCGAACAAACTAACACTGAATGCAAAGAAAACTAAATACACTATTTTCCACTCCCGTTATCGAGATATAAGTAATGAGTCCCTTTGCATTACAATAAATAACTGCGTGCTTGAGAAGACGAAAGAATTCAAATATCTGGGTGTAATTCTCGATAGCCAGCTAAACTGGCAAAGTCACATTATCTCTGTATGCGCTAAACTGGGATCTGGATGCAGTACATTATTAACCGCTAGAAATTATTTTAAAAGTAGTATTCTCCGAATTCTCTATTTCACATTTTTTCATTGTCACCTAACATATTGCATAGATTCATGGGGATGGACTTTTAAAACATATTTAGAACCCTTACGTATACTACAAAAGCGAGCACTTCGAATAATAAACAATGCTAGATATGATCAACACAGCACGCCATTGTTTCGTAATATGGAAATCATACCATTCGATAATTTACGACAGCAAAAAATTGCACTTACCGTCCATAATGTTATTTCTTATAACCTGCCCTTTCATATATCAGTATTTTCATCTTCTTGCCGCCTTACCAGACGTGCCACATTACATAATTTCAATCTTCCGCCTACTAACAATGTTTATGGCAAACGATTGCTACAATTTGCTGGAGTAAAGGTCTGGAGTGATATACCATGCCAAATAAAAGAAAGGAAAAGTTTTGCCTGTGCTCTTAAAAAATACTTTCTGCAGAAAAATGAACAGGTACACTAACACACACTTCGTTGTATATAGATTATATGTCTAACAAAATCATACTTGACATCGTATACATACTTTTATGTATTTGATGTATTGTATACATACAATCCGTTGTTTGCATGGAACAATGCTGCAAGATACTGCAAATGACTTATCACAAATATGTTTCCTTCTTATATTTTGTTTCGATTTTTTTTTCTTGTATGATTGAAGTGTCTTATAAAATATCTGCTTTGTTAACACAATCTGTTCCTTTAAATGCATATTTATTTAGACCCCCTACTAGCCAGTGGCTATGGGTCTAACCAGTGTTGTGTATTTTCATGTAATAAGAGAACTTGAAATAAAATAAAATGAAAAAATGAATAGCTATCTCTTCCGCTTTTGTAGTGCCAGGACCTTTGGAATTTTAAGACGAGTCCATCTTCTCGCTTTTCCTCGTGCTCGTGAATTACTGCTGCCGTATACCACACCCCGCCGTCAGGACCAGCCACATCCACGTAAAACACTCCGTGTTTATTGCCATAGTGACGTTGCAAAGCGTCTGCTCTCGCCTGGCGACGACCACTGTAGTCTTCTTTATCCATATTTGTAGGGAGGTGTGAAACTCCGACGGTGCTTTTCCTGAGTTCAGGCACTAGGACCCGCTCCTGAGCTTGGAAGTCGTGTTAAAGTGAAGCCAGTTCAGCAGATGCCGTCCCGATTTCGTCTGGGTTAGACATGTGTGTGGGTGTGCATCCCTGAGCTTCTGAAATGTGTTCACAACTCCCAACGCAAGAAGTCTCGCGTAAGAAGTAGCGACAGGTAGGCAAAAGGCCCTCTTTATCACTTTGTGAATGAATGCCTTGACATTTTCAGTATCATGCTTCCGTAAGTAGAGATAGGGGACCAAGTATAAAATGCGGCTAATTACGAAGGCATGAGCTAGCTGCACCGCATGCTTGCTTCGTAATCGACCTCTCTTGTTGTACACGCATCGGACCATTCGGCCCATTTGGTTCCCAACCTTCCGAAGCTTTTGTAGTGTTGTGTCGATTCTCCTTTGCCTTACGCGAGGCCGTCACGCCATCTCGCCACTGGTGACGAAAACAGGCTATAGTTTGGAAGCTTTGAAGACTGCCAAACAGTGTAGGGTTTGTATAAACGGCTTGCCGTTCGCACTCCAGACAACGTAAGCTCCGTGGCGTAGTTGCTATAGCGCCGTGCACAGAGGATCAAGAAGTGGCTGGATCAATTCCGCACAATAATGTTTGCCTTTTGTTTCCTTTTCTTCTTTGCAGTCTCTTTGTATAAACTTTTGAACGTCACTTCCGTGACGGAATTACGTCAGTGGAGCTGTGGTGAACCCTGACATAAAGTAATTTTATGTTGAAAAAAAAAAACAACATGCGTAGCCATAACCCTGTATTTTAAGCAACAACAAGAAAGGTCCATTTGAGTAAAAGCGGAGGCAAAAATGGCCACCTCCCTCCCCCACCCACCACTTTTATTGAAAATGCCACCATAGTGCGCTCCCCTACGGATGCTTCCCATTTATACGGAGTTCACTGAATTTCCCGCTGGAAACTGAAATTGAAGTCTGAACGCTCGCAGTAACGCGCGCCGTGATGTTGCTATTGTGTACCTCACAATGCTGGGCAAAATAATGAATGCGAAATTTCGTAACGTTGGAGTTGTAGACTGGTACATCGAACCTGAAAACTTCGACCACCTAAGGTTCTTTAACGTGCACCCAAATCTGAGCACACGGGCCTCAGTATTTTCACCTCCATCTAAAATGCAGCTGCCGCAGCCGGAATTCGATCCCGTGACTGGCGCGTCAGCAGCTGAGTACCTTAACCACTTGACCGCCATGACGGGACATATGCCTAGTTTAGTTTTCCTTTTTATTAGCAAACGAAGTATGAGCGCATACTTTGTGCAAAGCTAATAGTCACTGAGGTAGGTTTGTAATTTGCCTAGTGCATCGAGAAAATTACAAATGCATGTGCAAAAGTCTGCTGCTATAGCTAATTCACAAATTTTGTGAAGGCGAGTGATGGGTAGGGGCGGTGCCATTGAGATATATGTCTTTATCTCAAGTTCAGTTTATTGTACACTGCCTTGTAGAAATTCATTCTCAGCTGCTTGTTAATACTGTCGACACGTTTCCTGTAGCCATCACACGCTACAGCGGAGTTCCTCTGAACCAATGGCAATGCATTTCGTCTCAATAGGTCACGGTGCCGTGCGAGGGCGACAGAGGTTATCCGCACCGCAGCTGAAAATACGTGCATCCGTGTATTCACGAATCTCAGAGTCCTGCTTGATGTGCGGGGTAATTACATTTTCAAAGGATTATCCCGTATACGTTCGTATCGCTAAGGGCATGAAAAAGTGTGTTTTCTTTCTATTCAAAAATGTTTATTATATTTCGAGGTGTTTTTAAGGCACGGAGAGCGAGGCGTGCGTTGCTCAGCAAGGCGAAAGAAGCTCTCAGGAGCGTGTAGGAACAGCCTAGTTCCTGGTAGCTTTCCTATTTAACCGGGTCACTTTTCGCGAACCGTCTTGTTCAACGCACACACTCGAGGTTTTCTTTTCGACGAGCTGCTCGGCGTGTTTTTAAGGATTCGGATGCCCGTCTCTTGTGTGGAGGGAGCAGAAAAAAGAAACGCCACCGAAAAAACAAGATTGAAGTTAAGGGTAGGCGGAGTTGGGAGGGGGGCAAGGGAGGGTGTATGTGGTGCAAATAAAAATAAACGCTCCCGGTTATTGCGCTTTCATCGTAGGACAGGTCCCCACTGTGCCTAGCTGTGCGCGCTAATGGCGCACCTGGGCGACTGAGCGCGTTTAAGAGGACTGCGAGCGTCCGCACAGCGTGCGCGCACACGCACGAGTATAACCGCGGTCGGTGCACTCAAGATCAGCAGATCATCGTCTCCTTCGGGTTACCCCTTGACGTCGGGTCCATCAGCCAAAATTGAAGAAACATGAAGGCCCTGGTAAGATCAGTCTGTGTGGTTACCAGCTCGAGTCTGAGCCCGAGTTAGTCCAGTGGAGGAAAATTCTAATGCATCTGAGTCTGAGTGGTTTCCTGCAGGGCCAAATGTATTTAATGAGTGAGTATAAGTGAGCTCCACATTTTTGGCTGACCTTTCGTTACACTTTTCGAGGCTCATGATTCAATACCGAAATAAAATGAACGCCAACGAGGCCTGGGCTAAATGGATTCAGCATTGAAGACTTGCACGCACTAGTCAATTTATGGATACGCTGTGATACAATGAGAGAGTTGTGCTTGACGCGAGAATTCTATGAAATTTCTTTTTGTCACGAATAACCTCATAGGAGGTGTTCCCAGAGTTTGCGCATGGCTCTGTATGTATGCATTGGACGAAGAAAACCGAAAAGTCGTCCTGGACAGTGTAATGCGTAAGAATTTCAGAATTACCAATACAAAGAACGTGGAGGTGGTGTTTTCATATTCCATTAACGCTACGTTTTACAGCCAACCACATAAGAACTATGTCCGACAACTATACTTTTTTGTAGCTATTTATTCATGTTTCTTACTTTTTGCACCATATGGCTGAAGATACCTGGTAAGTTTTCCAAATTGCTAGGTATAGCACCTATACTTGTTTAATTACCCATCAACGATTTTTACTGCTCTGTTTTGGTGGATTTAGACAAATTTAGGGTAATGTTTCACCGGTTAATGTCTAAAACATCCGTGGAGTTGCCATTAGTGTGTATTCGTTGACCGCAATGTTTTACACAGCAGCGCACTTCGTATCTTTCCAGCTCTCTCTGTTCACGACCTACCTTGCAATAGCCTTTTCGGAGGCCCAGAACGGAAACGTTGGCATTGGGAGCTATGGGGGAGCCAGCATATACGGCGTGCCCAGCGGTTTAGAAAACCCAGGCTGGTATGGTGGCTCCAATGGCTTTGTAAACACGGGATGGTATGGTGGTTCCGGCTACCCAAGCTGGTTTGATGACTACAGTGGCTTTGTGAACAACGGCTGGTACGGTGGTTCCGGTTACCCAAGCTGGTTTGGTGGCTCCGGTGGCTCTAACCCAGGCTGGTATGGCGGCTCCGGTGGTTATAACCCAGGCTGGTATGGTGGCTCCGGTGGCTATAACCCGGGCTGGTATGGCGGCTCTGGTGGTTATAACCCAGGCTGGTATGGTGGCTCCGGTGGTTATAACCCAGGCTGGTATGGCGGCTCTAGCAGCTGGTACGGCGGTGGTGGATTCTCAGGTCTTGGCAACCAAGGCTATTACGGTGGATCCAGTGCACCAGGCATGTACGGTGGAGGTGTCCTCTCCCGTCCGCTAATGGGCTGAAAAGTGTGTACGTGCATTCCAGCGACGTACACGGTTGCTTTAGAGGTGGTACCAGCACCAAGGACTGCGAAAAGAAATGACTGCGAAGAAATGGGTTGAAAGTGTTGGGCTCGTTAAATAAAATGCAAGTAAATTGTGCGCACAGTAGCGTTCTCTTGGTGAATGAAACGTCGCAAGCCTCTTACTCAATAGGATAATGTTAAGAATCCACTTCAGGGCTCTGTTTCGACTTCACCAGTGATTCGCATGACACTTTAGCCGCCTGTGTTATTAGCACCAGGAATATGATATCCTGAGGGCTGAAAGAAATCGTTGTGTTAGAATCAACAAAAGAAGTCGCCACACCATCATGGGCTCGTTCACAAACTCGCGGCAGCTTTCACAGTATGTCTCTGCATAGAAAAGAAGAATTTACTTTTAAGCTATTTGTTTGAGCACACTATGAGGGTACGCACTGACAGAAACTGTGAGATGTGGCCGATGGTGTGACTATCAGTATGACAGTGATGAAATCGCAAAATAAAACGCGTGCTCTAACAGAAAATTCAGAAAAAAATAGACTGTGGCGCATTGGATAGCGTGCCCGGAATCATATGTCGTGGACCCTGAGGTCATGAGTTTGAATCCTGCTATCGGAACTTTCTTTGTGTACTCATTGTGCGTATTTTAGACGTCATTTTCGTGACGCAAACGCGTCACTGAAATATTGGTGGACCCCGGCATGTAACACTTCCGTGTTAAAATAAAGAAGAACGGGATTCCTCGATCTGCGCGTATACTTCGTTCACATCGTCTTAAGGCTTTCGTGTGGGAGCAACGATGGTGGTAGCGCAGTAGGCAACGATGTTCTGCGGTGACGGCTGTGCCAAGCACGCACGGTAAAAATGCGGCAGACGGGCAGAGACGCGCGAATCACGTCCGCTTCTAGTCAGCGTTGGGCCCCGTTTCGGTTGCTTCTGCTAATAAGGCCGTGGATTCTCGATCTGCTGTCGCATTTTCAAAACTCCCCATGTAGATCACGTTGCAGGCTCAGAGCTTCACTCCACATTGGCGTGGGTTCAACTATATAGGCTTCCGACTGCACATTCTTAGAAAGTTAATTCTAAGCATCCTCCACAACTTTTTTTCTCCTGTTTTCAAGGATTCGATTCAAGACACGGAAGAAAGGAAATGTAAATCCCAGCTAGTCGTCAATATACGCACCAAAAAGCTGTAGTAGAATTACTCTCTGTTCTCAAGGCTTTTTTTTTTCAAAGGTTGAAAATGTGTGAAGCCCCAACCTTTGGTCATATATTTTAGATGGCGGACAGGTATTGGCTCCTGCATTAGCAAAATGTTTAAATTTCAAATCAGCTTAGTATAAGTTGAAAAAAAAATACATGGGTTATTTCTACAAGAAAACATTAGAGTGACCCCGAAATGGTTTTTTGAAAATTTGCCGGTGTTTAGGTAACATCTTCAATTATTCGCACCATAACTTATGCGCGACATCTTGCATCTAGCCAGCTTCCCGCAAGACGAGGCAATTCTGTGGTGTAGGGAACCACGTGTGACAGATAATTTAAAATGTGCTCCTAATTACCGGCCTGCCTCAGTTCCTGCTTGAGAGAACTCCAAAAACGACAAGCCACCGGGTGCACAATCACCACTTAGCGTGTGCAGCGCTCGACTACGTCAGTGCTCAGAGTGGTGGCGCACTTCACTCCCACACGGTACGCATCAAGAAGTCCGTTATATTGAGAAAACGGGGCAGCAGTAAGCCGCGGCTACGGACTCGCGAGTCGCAGCCACGAAGTAGTTGGCTGGAGAAAACGCGGCAAAAAAAAAAAAAAGGGCAGGGGGGGGGGGGATCATCACAAGTCTCTCTTGCGGTATTCTTGCGGTATAGGGGGCGGTATTCGACCGCGCATGCAAACTTAAAAATTCATGCAAAATATCTTCCAAGCTATGTTTGCTATTGATACTTCGCAGATGATGTACGCATGTTCATGCAAGTTGAGCGCGCAGGCTATCTCGAATGGAAAATGTCGTGTCGGTACACCTTTAACTCGCCGAACGCACATCCGTAGCTGTCGACAACAGCACACACGAGTCGTTGTGCAGCGCTGCTCTCTATGGGAGCTCCGCAGTCAGCACTGGCAGCTAGGGTTTTAGGGGGCCCATATGTGAGACCCTTCTGAACACGAGTGCGCACTCATGTATCCTCACTACTGGCAGCGGGACCGGCACGTCATCTGGCAACGGAGACGACTGTGCGGTGTAGTTCAGATAAGCTCCGCCAGGGCAGGCCATGAGATGCGGCACAATACGGTTACTGTATATTTTACTTAAAGGTAGCACGTACGATAACTCTAAGTTCCAGCACTACCAGCCCTGAATGCTTGTTTTATTTTCATGTACGCCGATAGACCGACGCACACAGCACCGAGGAGCTGAAGGGACTCTGCTCTATATCAGCCTTACATGATTTAGACGACGTCCCTGCTTACAAGCCACCAGTCCCTAGGGCAATTAAGTCCCTGAATTGCCCTAGCTGACACACAACTCATCTAGGGCAATTCATGGTGTCCGAGAAAAGAAACCACAAGATTTACGCTTCTGCCAGCTCACGTCAACACGGAGCATGATGTAACACAGGCAGACGATGCGGTCTGTACACCGGAAGCTCAGTGTCGTAGAATATTCAATCAGATTGGTGGTCAGTTCTACGTATTATAGAACAATGCTACGTGAAATGAAAGCGGGAAAGTCAAAACTCATTGCGCTGCCCCGCCCCGATCTGTAGTGACGCGCAATTTTAATAAACGACATGGTTGACGAAGACAGCTCGATTCCGTCCGCATATGATCCTTAGGATTTAGAAGTGGTTATAAGAGGGAAAAGAAGAGAAAAGTGAGTCCCGTAACTGTCTGCATCATGGTGCGACACCTCAACAGTAGGTCACAAAGGATGGGGGTGAGGAGGGATAGGATTACAGGTATATATAAATATAGATGCGCTAGGACAGCGAGCGAGTACATATGAGGGATATGAGATATAGGAAAGATGGAAACGTGGTCACAGGAGTCCGAGGACGGGGCACCAATTGCGAGAGCTCTTGTCGGCGTCAGAAAATGGCGTAGAGCAAGTCCAGTAGGTCAGAGCTACGCTGACGTCGGAGATCCTGAGGTCACAACCGGTCGGCACGGAATCCAGCGAGCGAGTGGCTTAGGATTTAATTTCCTGGTGCAATACGTGTCTACAGGTTCTCGGACACCGTTAAACAGTCGCTCTAATAAAAAACATTACGTGAGAAAATCTCATTCACCTAAATGTCGAATACCCTGACATGAATTTGTCAAGACAAAACACTAGGCCCCTTTCTGCCCTTTCAAGATTGACAGTAATGCCCCCCTCCCGTCAACTTTGTTGGCCAAGCACGCATAGTATACAAGCCCGCAACGAATCCAAAAGTTAAATTTAGGCTATGAAGCGCTTCTCACAAAACCCTGTCAGTGGTCCCCGGCTTTTCTTTGTAAAGGCGGCAAGCAAACAGTTATTTGAATCAAACATCAAGGGTGTTTGCTCGCCACTATCATAAAAAAAAAGATAAATGAATGTAGCCATAACACTGCGATTCAAATACAACCCAGACTTCACACCCTGGCCACCATAAAACACGGGCCCTGTTCTTTTTTTTTCTCCAGAACTGGGCCTGCCTGAATCCCACGCCTCGAATCGTGCCATCAAGTTCTGGCAATCACTTATCTTGGTTCTCCAGAACCCAGTGGCACCATCGGTCGACAATCGGTTTTGCGACAGCCAAAAGATTCAATACATTTAAGCGGCCCCCACTTAGCTGCCTCCATGAAGTCCGTTAATAAAACGGAGGCCACTCTACCCTCTCAATTGTCAACGAAGGCTCCCTGGGCGCCGCCATAAGAACAGGGAGTGACTACCCCCTCTGTCAACTGATTAAACGGTAGCCCCTCCACTCTCCATATTTACGCCTCTGGTAGAGCACAGATGTCTCGAAAACTGTGCAGTTTTAAGATGTAGGTTGAACGCGTGTCAACCTCACGAAAAATGACACAAACGCTGACAATACTTAGAGGAGCAAGCCAAACAAAAAGAAAAGAAGAGGACCCACATGTGTTGTGAAGGCAGTGATAAATCAATCGACTGTCATGCTGGTAGAAAAAGACAGCGTTGATATTGCACGGCTGGTACTTCGACGTCCACCGTGTATGGGTCCTGGGTTACGGTGCTTGGCTGCTGAACCGAAGGTCGCGGGTCTGAACCCGGATGCGGCGATCGCAGCTCCATGCAGGCGAAATGTTGAAGCCCGTGTACTGAGCCTTGTCAGTCCACTGAAGAACATTCTTTAAACAACACCAGTTGGGAGAAATTTCCGGAGTCTTCCACTACGATGTCTCTGATAATCATATCTTGCGCTGGAGACATAAAACCCCAGGTATAGGCTCACTGACAGATGCGTGTTCATATAAGGCAGCTTTTGTAGCAAAGAAGAAAGAGAAAAAAGAAGGAAGAGGTGCTGGTAATTAAAAGTGCTTCTGCAACTCCACAGCTATAAATTGCTGCTGGTCACTGCGTGCTTCTGAAATGATTGCTCAGTACAATTTTATGCAGAATTCACGCCTGAAGAACGAATAACTTCCAAATAGCGTAGGAGCGATTGACACAACTCGTGCGCTTACTTCGTTGGCGTAGGTGGCGTCAATCTTCAAAAGAATTTCCCGGGCAAGGGCTGCAGATTGGATCAAAAAAAAAAAAAACAGCGAAAATTGCTTCTTCTTAAAAGCGGCCTCATTTGAAAGAGTACACACGCGTGGGGACAAGGATGAGGGGAGAGTGGAGGTAAAAGAGCGGATGTTAAGCGCGTCAGAGTTGGCCCGACGAGCTATTCGTTAGTGAGAGATCCCAGTGTGTACAGGCCTCTGTGCTTTGCAGCTAAAAAAAAACAACAACAAAAAAGCGTGCGATTTCACTCGCAGCTGTCT